GATCTCCAAGTTGTCTGTATAAGGTGTAATTAGCTTTAGGGTTGGCATCACTGCTGCAGTTCAAAGTCACTGAATTCCCTTCAACGATTTCCTCCGAGGGGATCACTGATAGCAGGGGATCCTTTGGAGCATCTGGAGATGACATGATAAAAATATAAAGAATCTTTTGATGAAATATATATATATTTTTAAACTTATTTAAAGATGTGTCTTAACTACTTCTATTTCTAGACTCTACTGAGCAAATATGAAGATGCTAACTTACACACTGCAGAAGATGGGACACTCTCTTCTCCTTTTTCAATAACACAATAATAACTGTCTTTAGAGTTAAATGAGAGAGAGACAAATTCCTTTGTCCTTTCTTTTTGTCTATGATTATTCTTGAACCAGATGTAGGAATATTTTTCCGGCAGCTGACAGTTGTCATCACATATTAGACTGATATTGGGTGATACGACCACCTTAACCTGTGGATCTATGTGGAGAAAAACAAATCATTTTGTTTGTAAGTTACAATGTAGAAACTTAAAACCGAGTGACTTGAAGTGTAACGGTTACCTGTGACTGATAAAGAGACTCCAGGTAAACCTGTATATTTTCCAGTTTCATGGTTTGTTGTAAACCTGAACTTGTATGTAGCCTCATCACTTTTTGTCAGATTTGAGATCTTCATAATGCAGTACGAGTTTTTGCAATGATAATTTACACGCTTTGAATACTTGGAAACATTTCTCAGATCCGTATATTTTCCATTTTCTTCTTCTAAAAACCAAAATGTTGTCTCTACTAAAGTTGGTTTGTCTCCCATTTTCTCTGGGTAAGTATAGGAGCATTTTATTTCCACTGTTGATCCATTTAGGGCACAAATCTGGGAGGAACCACATGTCACGGACCAGCCATGCTCACCAGTAACAACTGTAAGAGAAAACAAATGATTGAATCCCTAGCCTTGGAGAGTGACTAGGTGAACAAAAAATTAAACAATAAAGATTACTATTTGGACTTTTAAAAAGAAAAACATTAAAAAAAGGTTTTATTTTCCATACAGAATGAGTACATTAACCTTTAGAATGCAAAACAGATTGATCAAATTCTCACATTTTTCAGCTGAATAGGCCAACATTAAAATGCAGTTAGGCTTTCCTAAAATTCAGTTATTGAAATTAACAGTAACATAAAGGAATTATGTCTATGTAATAGAGATTTTTTCCCCCATCAATTATGAGGTTATATATTGTTTTTTTTTTTTTGCTCATTATGATGCACAAATGCTTTTAGCCAATGTTGAGGCAACATGGCCTGGAAC